ATATGCCAATGAACCAAGCAAAGCCTTGTTGACTGCTGCCAAGAACGCTTTACTAGCAAAATGCTAAATAATAATATTTATAAATTTATATTTTAGGCCAACTGCAATGTGTAAACAAATGTAAAATTGTTAAATAAAAGTAAACAAATTAATGAAATTTGTTTGTTTTCTTCATTTTGTGTAATACTTTCATGTTGCACAGCGCGTCGTAAGGTGTCACAGCGCGTCGCTACAGGAGGCGATCGCTTCACGAAAAAAATCTCCCTATTTTTTGGTTTTCAAACTTGGGATCTCTGTGATTTACTCGCTGATACTTGAGCAGGTTCTTGTAGAGATCATTCTAAGGCATCAACACTGCAGCTGCTTTGACCAACCAAGGGCAGTAAATCAGGATCACAATTTGGACGAAGTTTGTGACTTTCGACACTTGACGCAGGGTTCCCGGAACGCCGCCCTTGGCGGCGAGTGCGAAGCACGATTCAGGCACAAAAGTGGAACGTGAAATTTGGATATGGTTTTGTAGTCAGATTTGCGAGAAAAACTTCAGCTACCCGTATTTCTCGACTGAGACGTCAGTGGGAGCTGTAATTTGTATGGCAAGGAGATTGAGCAACCCCTGTCTCTTTTCATTCATATTAAGGGAATTTACGCCCAGAAACTTTTTAGTTATTAATATTTTGGTTATAATAGAAAATATTCATTTTTTGGTGACGTCACACTCACATTAGTTAGCATGCATACGTCATAAGCTAGATACGTCACCTTTTCCTTTTAAGGCAAACTTTCCCGGCGTGCTTTTTTCATGGATAAACAAACACCACTGCTTTGCACATGGATGCCTTGCCCAAGCCAGGGCTACAAGAGCCGCATTGTTAGCATTGTATAATGGTACTTAAATAAGGTACCTCTGCAAATGAATTATTCTTAGTTATTTTTTTTTTCTTATTTTAATTTATTCCTTCCGAAAGTGTACTTTCTATCACATATAATTCCACTGTCTTAGTTAGGCCATGGTTAGGCCTAGGCCTAGTCTTATGCCCCATCGTCACCCGCTACACAGTACATCAGCAGCCCCTCCCCATTCCATACAGTACAGACGTTTGCTAGGTAACAACGTGATTGCACCTTCCTTCCCAGGTGTTCATGTAACATTGACATAATTGTTAGCTAACCAGTTGTGTGTATTTCTTTGTGAAAATGAGTACCGCGGCGTACTCATTTTCACAAAGCATTTGCATCCCCTCTTGGAAAGAGGGATTCGAAATAATTGTCTCCATATCTTCGCTAATTAAATTAATCAACGTAATTTAGCTTACACTTATGAATTTAGGGAGCACTTAAAATGTGAAATAATCATTTCACTACCCGAACTTTATTCATTCATTAGGCCTACATAAGTTTCATATTGCTGTACTATATACTCCAACATCACTGGCGCATGGTAACAACCAACTGACTGCAGACCATTTCCGATCACACATTACTCTCCATAACACAGCACCCCCTAGTTCCGTCACCTCTGGATGTTTCATGGTAATTGTGCCTAGTGGGATTGGCTTTTCGAATAAGCAAATTTTAATGCAGTACAGCAACTTCGCCATCCATCTGGCTTTGTGGAGGGCACCAGGTCGCCAAAAGGCAGTAATTGAAAAATCAGGATTAGGATTGAGATACACAACACACAACTGAAGGAACTCTCGATAGTCGTCGCGTTTCATGTCCATTTCTGAAGTGACAATTTGCGAGCTTTCAGTACGCAATTCCGAGAGAAAATCTTGTGAAGCACCAGGAAACGTGACAATATGGAATCGAGGCTGATAGGTATGTTGATAAACGAGATCCCAATTTTTTCTAAGATTTGTAAGTCCTCAAACACATGTATTAGTACAACTTCACCAATATTATGTCGACATCCTAACCATAGCAGCGCATGATGTAGGCTCTCCTGTATCTGGATGCATACTCCAGAAACGTGACTATTGTTGCTTCCTGTTGTGTCGAAGACCATATTGAAGATGGAATCGCAACAGCTTTATGTCAGCAACAAAGCATAAGTCAGTTGAGAGATTATCTCCCCAGTTATTTTACCAGTTCCAGTCTTGTAGGACGGACCCCAAGAATTTTGATCTCATCGTTGTCTCTAACAGCCACAGTGAGGTGCTCATCCATATCACACTTGTTGGTTAGTGACTGCATCTGCTTACCTTCCCAATGAAGAGATGTAACTGTTCTGACGGTCTTGTGCTATCCCCAAAATTACTCGCTCCCCCAGTCACT